GTTTATTTGGCTTTGCATTTTAATATTCCGACTGAAAGTTCTGTTTTGCTTTTTCTTCATCATTTTTTTATTAGGTTCAATAATCAATTAAAATTCAACAATTAATTTCATTGAGCACCAATTAATTGATTATTTTCATTTGTTCTATTGTTTGTCAATCGTTGTCTTTTTGATCAGAGCATTTACATTTCTTATTCTTTCTTTTTCTCTTTCTTTGTGACATGTATTTGTTTCGCCCAAAGCCCGTGTCTTTATTGACAAAAAGCAAAAACTTGAGTTTTCTCTCTTCGATTGAATGGGTAAAAATTCAATCGGAATCGGAAGCAATTGTACACTTCCGGAAATTGAACGAAACTCTTGTACAACACCATACCCGAGTAATGAACATGTTTCAATGGAAACAACAACGAAACAGATTTTAAAAAAAACAACAACAACAAAACAATGAAAATATCGTCTTGTTCAAGCACATGTTACATAATAATGGAAATAAATCATTGAAATTCATGCTGCACGTAACGGATATTTTACTAAATTTAGACTAAAATATGATGAATCGCACACAATTCGAGAGATTGTTCCAACAAAACCAACGTAAAGGAAAAAAAGAAGAAACAAAGGCTTTGTCTCAATCAAAATCGGGAATTTGTTGTATTTTTTTTTTGCTGTTTCTTTTCATAGGCAATCATCAATGATGTCAACGCGAAAAGAGAAAAATTACAATCGTTAGAATCATTTTCAACAAATAGAATGCGCAATAGACAAAGTTTTTTGTGCCGTATAGGTTTGCTCTGTTGCTGGTTTCGTGATTAGAATACGGTGTTGAATTTGTGTCGGAATTGAAGGCATGTAATCTATAGAGCTCTTTTTGAAACGGGCGAAGTAAAAGCCCAAAGGATAAATTCACTTGAATGTAAATCCACATTATTTCTCTCTTTTTTTTTTGTTCATTTTCATGTTGTGTGTGTGTGTACCCGTTCGGGGATTCACTTGCACAATGAACGAACACGAATGATAAACGAAGTATCGCACAGCAGCCAGTTTTCATTGCATCGTTGAAGAATGCTATGATTTCAATCTGGTTGTGATATTGCGCCTCGTAAATATTTGTTCTTTTCTCTCGATGCTGCAGTGCTATTTTTTTGCTGTTGTTCGTCTCTTCTCGAAAATGACAGAATATTTTCTTATTTCCCAATAGCCGCTATGCCGAACGCTTCGATTCGAAATGCAGCACATACAATTTATGCAGTGGAACGATTGATTCGACTGCGGACGATTTGAATTGTTTGTGTGTGTGTGTTGTGTGCCATGTCACCAGGCTTCTTTTCTTGGTTCCGTCAAATGATCGACATTGTTTGTTAACCGGCTAATAGTTGACGAGAGAGCATATTTCCCTATTCAATGAGAAATAGCCCCATGTCAGTGATGATACGATTTGCACTCACCACACTCTACTACTCGTTCGGCTAACTACTGATTGTTTTCATTGTTCTTCGGTAGTTATTATCATTGTTCTGCGTTCGTCGTTTCGTCCGTCGTTCCGACCATTCGATTCGAGCAAGCAAGCATCCAAATGGATCTCTGGAATAATTTACTGATTTGTGCGATATATATTTGGTTTATTTGTAGCTACATGGTCTTTTAAATGGATCAATTCCATTCGGTAATTTATGCGTTTTGCGCGACTTTTGCCAAGTACTCGGGGCCAAGTAGAGTGACAGAGATAGCGAGAAGGACAAAATGAGCCGGGATTGCGTGATTTATTTTAAATTATGTACCCACCGAACAATACTGTTGAAGTTGTTAGTTCATTTTATATCGTTCGTTTGCTACTGCTTACAAATGATATACATATTTATAGAGCATCAACTAGATCCATCAAGTATGCAGAATATTGTTTCTGCGTCTTGCATGGGCACGTTTATTGCATAGAAATGAGTGAAGGAATGAACGTAAATTTTGGTGATCTGCCGCTCATGATGATCACCTCCAAAAAGGAGCAAACAATCAATAAATCTGGCTGCAAATAGTATGCAACATTTTTCAACGATAAAATGCCTCATTTAACTCTTAATGCCACCTGTTTCAAACTCATGTGCAACAAGCGAACGAAATTATTTAATTCTCACTTTGCTGCAATCGTCCTAAGAATAAATAAACAACAACAACGATGATGACGACAAAAATAAGAAGAAGAGAAAAAAAACAATCCGTTATGAATTCAAAACGCATCGTCAAGGCAGCACAACAAAAAACCATTACACTAATTGGCAGTAATATGTCTTGTGCTATACGAAAAATCGAAACAATTTCTAGAGAATGATTGGGATTTAGTCGTCAAGTCACTATCAATCACAAAACAATGCATGTGTCAATTGTTTATTGTTTGTTTTCTCATCTGTACTCATGTTTTCTATTCAAGTGTAAATGAACTAGAGAAAGAAACTGGACGATTTTCATTTCCCATCATCATCAAATCATCTCTCGGCTGATCAATTGAGTGAAGATAAGACGAGCAAAAAAAAACGCACACCACAAATGTATCGTTGGCAAAGCCGATAATGAGAAAAATCTAATTGCAGTCAATGACAATATTTTCATTTTGAGATGGTCAAATGACATGTCAAACGTCGATTGGTTGGAAGCGTGGAATGATCGGTCGTGATCAAAATCTCTTTCTCTCCCGCTCTCATTCGGCACGTCATTCTAGCTGTTGTGCGTGTGCGTGTGTGCGCGCGCGCATATTTTTGATGTAGATCTGCCCATCTCTCTCGGGCCATCCCGAACCAAAAGCGATATGCCCTAGCCACACACATAAGAAAAACTCACACAGAAATATTGCCGTAATATTGTGCGCAAAATACGCGAAGGGGAAAAACGCGCGATGGACATTTGCAGCATTATAAAAACGCTCCTGTTTCACGATTCGTGACAAAAATTTCAAATGTCGAACCGTGCGAACCGTCGCGGCTAAGTGTTTGGTTACACACATTTTTTTCTCTCTCTTTTTGCTTCGTTTTGCTTCTCTCTCGCTGAATTTAGAGGGAAAAAACTCACGCACTTTTAAACCAGATTCAGTTCGATCAGCATCGTTATGTTTGCTTGGCTAATGTGCTCCTGCCAATTCTTACCATTCGATTTCAATTATTATCATTACTATTGTTATTATTGGAAACTGTTGCTGACTGTGTGTTTGCTGGTTGGTCTGTGTGTTGTTGTTGTTGCTGCTGCTTCTGCTCTTTTTCTTTGCTTTAATTTTGCGTTCAGTCCAGCATTTTCACACAATCTATTCAGCTGTTAAGCAATTGTATGGCACAGCAATGGAAAAGAAAGAAGAACGAGAGCCGATCGATTGTGTTGAAACATTCTAAAGATGCTCATACAAAGTATTCGTTTGGCCGTTGTTTTGTGGCCGTTTTTTTATTCTCTTCACTTGCCCCCGGTTTCAAGAGATCGGTACACTTTCGTACATATTGATTGCATTTCGCACTGTGTGTGAGGTTACTTTTAATTTTTCCCTGTGCTTGTTGTTCACATAACAAAATATTTTCAATTGCATTTTGTGCTTTTTTTGCCATCGCTCTTGCTCTTGCTCTGCTCCGCTCTCTCTCTTTTTCTCTTTCATTGCTACTCTTTGTCGTTGTTTTCTTCTTCGTTTGACACAAATCGGTGCATTTCCTTGGAATAGCAAATTATATGTGAGAAATAGTCTGGTTTGGTACCTCGAAGACAAGCTTAACATGAAAAATGTGATGTAAAACACTATGGAAAATTAATTCTCTCGTTTGTTAGCATGCTCGTATCGCCTTCACTTTCTTCACTTCTCTCTCTCTCTCTCTCTCTCTCTCTCTCTCTCTCTCTTCGTTCCGCGATCGATTGTCTTGCTCTTGTTTTGCAGCAACAGCAACTGCATTGCACAAAATCGTAACATCACTGAATCAATAAAACAGCACCGAATTCCTTAAAATGTGCTAAAAACATTGTATCTGATTTTGATGCTATGTGCTGTGCATTGATAAAAAAATTAAATATGTACAACGGATCGACAACGATGCTTGATTTTTGAAATTCCGAATGTTTCGATCGGCATGGCCTGTGTGAGTGTGTGTGTTACTCGAGCGGCTACACTGCCATGTTTTTGCACCGAGGAAAATTTCTGCTTCTGCATTCTTAAGTGTCTTAAACATTTTCGATCGACTTATGGTTTTGCTGTGTAATTTTTTTCTGTTTCTTCTCTTGTGGACTTCGATGGCCAATTTGCAATATCATTTCCCTGACTCTTGTTCATTCAACGATGCGTTATGCATACACAATTAGATCTTCATTTGTCGACACAATCAGTCAGTATTGCACAAATTTTATGGAATGACATTGATTTTATAAACATAACGCTTTTGCATGGTTCGAATTTATGGATGTAATTGTCCTTTTTGGACTCAAATGAAAAATATCAAGTATTTGCAAAGCAAATAAATCAGATTGGATTTGAACATTTGGACAAATTGAATATGAAAGATAAAATTAAATTGATTTTTGAGCTTAAAATGATCATTTTTTAATTTTTATTCGTTATTTCACCATCTGATTATGGAAATATGACTGATGATCTTGTGATGGAGGTGAATTCAATTTCAATGGTTCAACCCCTTTATATTGAAATTGAATCAATTTCCCAATTTATTTATGTACATTTACTTAGAATTAAGTCGAATTTAACAATTTTATTCAATTTAAAATTTGATCTTTAACTAATGCATATTCGTTTCGTCTATTTCTAGGTAAGTTCTGGCCGAACGCTGATGTATTTGAGAGAAAAAAAATGCACATGATCGTGGTGAGCGAATATTCAATTGGCAAAAATGATCCATTCCAAATAAGAAAAAAATAACTTTGAATCGATAATTCCTTAGAAAATTGTTTTGGCAAATTTATTTCTTCAAAATGGACAATTTTCACCCCCTAAACCTATGAATAGATATAAAAAATGACAGAAGACTTACCCAATTGAGTGTCCTGTACACAGACATGTTGGTCCGATTGCTGTAAACAAAATCGCCAACGCGAAAATCTGTCAACGAAACCAAAAACAATTACATTAATCAACCGTATAGTATAAGCGCGATCACATCGATCACTGAACATATGAAAATTCAAATGTAAAATTAACCACGAAAATCTAAAATACACCACAAATACTTCACATAAATTCAACGATCACATGAAAAATAACATAAACAATTGAAAATTGAATGAAAAATTTCGAGTTAATTAGTGGAAAAATGGCATCAGAAAAAAATAATAACCCCGAATACGAATGACAGTTACCAAGGAAAGCGTGTGTTGCGAATGTAAACAAAGTGGAAAAAAGTACGATATACGGACTAGGCTACACTGCTTCGATACGCTTATTTCTTCTCGAACAAATACAAATCGGCTGCGGTAACGATGTGAACGGTTTGGCGATCGACCGTTTACTAAACCGTTGATGACCGAGAGAGATATATGTGACTGCCTTTCTGCTGTTCAACCACACACATCTTCTTGTTTACTCCTCGATTTCTTCTTTCCACTTCTTTTTTCTGCTCGAAGAAAGAGTATGCTGAACGTACATTCAATGAAGGCGATACGCTAGCGATCAATTTGTATATCTTTCTTTGTCATGCATCGTTAATTCAATACCAGCACATACACACGTGAGCACACACGAACACTGCACCATTCAAAGTTGTCATACAATAATCATACAAAATCGATAATTGATATTCGTCGTGTTAAATACTTCTCTCTGTCTTTCATTGTGGTTGACGTTTTATTTTTTTTTTTTGTTTTCGCATTTAATTGCGGATAAGAGACGAATATATGATTGCTGCTTTGAACGCAACACATCCGAGAATTGAAGGTGTGAATAATAGAAAATGTACGTAGAGTGGGCACTTGATTTCCAATCATTTATTTTCTGTCGGTTTCTATCAGCATTCATTTTGAGATGGTGTAAGGGCCATCATTTTCAGCATAATGCGTTGGCAATTTCATATCGATCGAATTTATATAAAAACATTTCATTAGTGACAAACACACACGCTCAACTTTCCACGCAAAACTCAAACCACATTACTCAATATCAAATGCTGAAAAGAAGAGAAGAGAAACAAAAAGCGACTGGAGGCGTGATTTCATTAGCAAACGCGCCAATCATCAGATATCATGATGGAAATCAGGATGGATTTTTATCAATGCTGCTACTTAACGCAACAAATCGCAAACAACTTCATTTAGACGAGAGAGATGAGATAAATGAACAACGATAAAAATTGCAATGCAATCAACAAATGAAGCTGAAAAAACAATAACAACAACAGACTGCATGAAAAATACGGCGAACTGATCGTCGGCCAAATTTGGTGATCAGATAAACAAAACATCGTATCGATTAAAATAACCGATCGGTTCAGATTCATTTCGATGCGGCCCAAGCAAACGATTCGTATTACGATTCAATTAAGTTGCACTTTGGGTGTACGTTATGTACGTTATGCAAAGTGAGTTCAAAATTTCGCATTTTTATCGGTTTAGTTTGTTTTTATGTTTTGATTTTGCCGGGGGAGCAAACAAGCAAGAAGCGCGATGCTCACTTACGGTTTAAATAATTTTTTCTTCTTCTTGTGGTTGAATGCCTGTGTGAAATTTTGCCCTGGAATCAGCAAACGTTGATAGGCCTCTCTAGGTAAATATATGCGGCATGTTTCAAACGATAAAACTGAATCGATGCAAAGCCATTAGACCTACCGGCCAGCTGGTATTGTTTCGCATTTTTCTCGCGAACAATAAACAACTTATTAAACAATATTTTTGCATAAGCACAATGGACCAGTGCCACCGCCACAAAGCTACACACACACACACACACACACACACACACATGCTTCCATTGACAATAAAAATGTATTTACACGGGATTGCACGATTGCGGAATTTTTCTATGAAATATTCGTAAAATTAATGGGAAACTTTGTTGTACGCCAGCCATTCGATGCTATTGAAATGGAGTGGCCGTCGCCGCCATCGTTGTCATCGCTGCTACTATGCGCACCCGCCACTTAATGAATGCATACGTGCATACTACACGGCAACGTGGCCCTTTTGGCTACAAAACCATTGGCAAGCAGGCACATCGCACCGTTTGCATCTGACACACAATCGACAATACACAATAAAATAGAAATAATTTAACAATTACTTTTGAGATTGTCCTCGTGGTCCGTTGTTGGTTAAATAACGTTAAGCCGTTCGGTTTGTGTTTCCATTTTTTTGTTTTCGTCAAGATTCTGCATCGTTTTACTCGTTGGATGCGATGCGCTGTATTTTGATCTTGAACCGGCGAGCTCGGCATACTTGTGTGACACCATGCAAAAGCAGCAGCGAACGGTGCGATCGGGCTAAAAAAAAAAAATAAAATAAACAGTAGCCGGTTGTTTGGGATATGCCTATTAAATGAAAACGATCTATTATTTTTCAGTGTTTCAGTTCGGAATAAATAAGGGCCACCGGTGTTTTCTATGCCGCGACACACACACACACACTCTTTGGCTTCGTCGACGAGGTTGACGACAACCTTTTTGTTTCATTCAATTTGCGCATTGTGCATACAATTTTCGTAATAATGAAATTGATGCCTGTTTGTAACACAACAACAAAGTAAAATAAAAAGACACAAACAAAAATGAACTGAGCTCATGGCTACGCAAACGCATGCCTAATAAGATACCGTGAATATCGCGCACGCGTTCATACAATAATCAATGCTGGAATATTTTCTGTTTGCACCGTTTTAATGCACCATCCTTCGTGCAATCGCAGTTATTGGCGTTTTATTTTGATTTCGATTCAAATTCGATTTGTCGGCGAAAGTGAACTGAGAACCGTTCTATTGAACGTTGTTATCCGCCGATTTTTCCAATGCAAAAGAATGCAACTAACGATAGAGCAATAGAGCAAAACGACCGCCCGAAACGAAACAGTGCAAACGAAAAACCAAAAACAAAAACGACTTTCTTATGCGGTTTCATTTTCTCTCGCTCGCTTTAATCGATTGGATTGGATGTCATTGCCGTCGATTTTTCGACTTTGTTGGCGGTGATGTGTTGACTTCACGTCGCAAATAGCTCGTGCTCAACAAAGCGCAATTATGCCGTTTGTATTTAAATCAAATATTAAGTAATTTTAATTTGCTCTCTACCTTATACAGCAGCAGATCAAATTGTGATTGTACGTAGTCCACTTGGATTTTCATTTACGAGATGCAAAACGAAAAACAGTTTTGCGAAAGCTATGTTTTGTCAATGAACATCGCAAAAGTAGTATGAAATTATACTCCGACGCCGCATTGACTCAATCAATGATGTGTCGCTTTCGCTTTGGCATAATCCTCTCAAATAATAATGAGCCAATTGATGGCCATCAACTCCCACGGTAATTAAAATTACATGCAATAAAAAACAATCCTTTTACATTTTAAGGCAATTTTTTTTTGTTGCATGCGATTAACAAATGTAGTGCCGAATCGGTTTTAAATGATTCAACAAAAGTACATACAATAGGTTGGGGCTAAATGAACACCAATCAATTGAAATGATTTAGCAAGCCGTCATTTTGAATTCAAAATTTAATGGACTCTACCATCGAATCGATGAGTATTTTAGCAACTCTCATCCTTAGCGACTTTTAGTAACTTCTCATCGTTGTAAGAGACTTTTTTCTGAACCACTTATTTCTATCATCAAATTTGTTTCGAACCAATTTCTGATTGTGCCTAAGTTCACACTTTATATCGAAAATGCATTTGGTATGCACGTTCTTAAATTGAAATCAAATAATATCACAATTTCATGCAAATGCTGCTTTCTTTAAATATTCATTTCACATTTAATCGAATCAAAACGAAAGGTACATCTAGGGATATCGTTTGTATGCCAATGCAACGTTGTGCATCAATCGATTGGGCAATCGTCCAATTTATTGTGTTGTGTGCTTGCGGTTATGTGTACGGGAAATAGCGCATACGCATAGTTCCATTGTTTTCGTTGAATTCAATGCGAATACAATAGACGTGCATGTGCAAAACGCAATAATGATATCGAAGAGAGAAGTGGAACCAGTCGAAAAACAGACAAGACACAAGTGCAAACGATGGCGAATACAAAAGTAACAAGTTGCAAGCAATGAATACCGATGTCATTGTCGGCCTGAACCATGCCCAGTTTACACATTTTGTCATTAATTTTTAACAGGCCAATCCACTGTCAATTGATAAATGCTATTCTAATGCGTTCAACAGAAGCCAATCGCTATTGAAATTATTGATTTCATTAGTCTTTGTGCCTTTCTGTTCATCGAGCGAGTATTTAATTTTGTATGCATTGTATTTTATGTGGTTCCGATTCAGAGCTGAACGCACTGGCTTGGCATTAATGTTGCTCGGACCTTTTTTTCTCGAATAAAAAATCGACAAATTTCCAATTTCAACGTCGTTTTTCATTTTTGAGCGGACGTAGAGAAGAATTTCGAATGAAAGCAATGAATTTAAAACGCCACGTGCACATTTCAAGTCGAAATGAGATTATCATTATCACTCAAAAAAGACTCAAACGGAAAGACAAGAAACCCCAGCGTTCCCACATGAATCGGGGAGAATTGTTCAATTGTGCGCAATTTGCTTTCATTGACGAAATTTGTATTCAGAAGAATGAACACTGTGATTTTCTTGGCTATTTCAAGTTATGGATTAGTTCCGAATCGCATGTGGTCGGCCAATCGGATAAATGGCTTAATGAACAAAGCCATCGTTTTCATCGCAAAAACAGCAGAGAACGCTCAATAAAAATTATTTTATTTATGATAATGACCAAGGAGTGAATTTCGTTTGCTCTCAGTTGCTCGTTTGTTGTTGTTTTTTTTTATTATTTTTTCTTCGTCAAGTTTCAAATTCATTGGGACAATACAGACCATCTCCACATTGAATTTGGTGATATTTTTTTTATTGTGTATTTTTAACTAATGTGTGGGTTTCACCAGGTTTTATTCATTTGCAAAAAAAAATCGTATCATCAACACTCTTCGATCGTCTGTAACGCATTTTGCTAGGTTCCGTTTGTTTTTGCCTTTTTCAGCGATGTTTATAATAAGCGGTGTTGCGCATCATTTTTATAAATTGGCAAATTATGGCCAAAAATTCTAACGTTTCGTTGCAATTTTGAGAGCATTTTGATGGTAATCAGAAATGGATTGAAGCACGGTTGAACTAATAACCCGACGTTTTTCGACACCGTTCCCTTTGAAAACTTTCAAAATTGGAGAAAAAAGAACTAAATGGTGATCTTTATTCAACAAAACAACGCGGCACAGTATCAAGGCGATTTCTATCATATTGTTTAATTTTATTGAATAACGATGCTTTTTTTCGAGTTGTAGGCGATGAGAACGACGACGACAGCGGCACTGTGCGTAATAGCTAATGCCAAATGGTCAAGATGAAATGAATAAAGAGAGAGCGAGAGAGAGAGAGAGAAACAACAAGAGAAGTAGACACGCATTATTGCCATTATTTGTCGCCCATCGGTGACGAAACTTTCCAATGCGATTCAATCGAAATACGCGCGCGCACGTCGAACGGATTAAATTAGAAACGACCTGATGTGTGTGAGAGGGAGAGGGACAGAGACACACAGAGAGAAGACAGCGACAGAATATTGAGCAAGAAGTCGTAAACAAAACCCAATTCCATAAATGGTGCTCAATAAATTTTCGAGCAATTTTATCA